ACATCAAAGTGAAATCGCAAAGACTGAAGGAAAAAAAAACCAAAAGACAGCCGGGGTAGAGGAGGAGGGATGGGGGAGAGGCAGGAGAAGAAAGGGAAATATCCGCGCACAGCCCTGCAGATGGGAAGTGCTGCTCCGAGGTGTCCGCGGGCGACCTGCCAAAGCAATTGATTTCATCTGCAGGCAGAGAAGGCTTTTTTTTCTTTCTTTCTTTCTTTCTTTTTTTTTTTTTTTTTAATTTAAAACCAATTTTAACGGCCAGTGTTAGATAAAAATGGCAGAGGTGCGGGGAGGAGAGCGCGGCACGGAGCTGGGGGGGGGGAAAGGGAGATGACAAAAAGAGATTGAATGGTGACGTTGGAGGGAAGGAGGGGGGGTGCGTGGGGTGGGGACGTGCCTGGGGACATGGCCACACCACCCACCACGTCCCAGTGGGTGGCAACGAGCACCCAAAGCATGGGGCACATCGGGAAGCCACTTTCCACTCGCCCAGGATGTGAAAATGAGAGAGAGCCCCAAATTTGGGCAGTTTTCTGGAGGTGCAGTGGGGTCACCCCTCCTCTACGGGTATTGAGCCATAGAGCAGAGAAAAATAGCCGCTGACATCAAGGTTATGCAGTCCTGTGCTGCCAGGGTGGATTATTTCCTGCAATCCATCACCAGCCTGGATCCTATTGCATTTCTCCTTTTGCTCTTTTTCTTCCCTTCGTTCTTTCTTTGCTCTCTCTCTCTCTCTTTTTTTTTTTTTTGGAATGGAAAACGCTTTTAGCAACCTTAATAGCCACCGAGAGCTGCTGTAAAGCTGGCACAGAAATCTATCATTTCTGTTTGGCTGTGTCTGATAATAAGTAAGCCCGGGCCGTAAATCCCACGACCTTGAGAATTAAATAGTAACAACAATAATAATAACAACAACGAAATCCCACGTAACTTCCCATCCGGAGCAGCCCCTTCTGCTCCAGCAGGTGGGAAGGGCTGCGCTGTTCTGGGCTATGAGGGAGCGCTCCCATGGAAACGCTGCAGCCGATGGCCCCGCTGCTCCTCCCTGGGACTACGGTGTGTGAGCACTGAAATGCTGCCACCCCACATCCCAACGGCCTCAGGGTGTGTGGGGTGGGGAATGCACCCCCAGGCCCCTTGCTGGCCCCATTGATCTTTGGAAGGAGCCATGGGGCAGTGGAGCGATGGGATGTGGGACGTTGGCTGCGATGTTGACTCCGGTCCTGTAGTGCCACCCAAGGGTGCACAGTGCTGCCAACGCAGCCCTGCTGTGCCACCCACAACATTTTGGGGACCCACAGAGGGCCGTCCCCGTGGGCTGTCGGTGCAGGGACACAGGTGACGCATCTGGGAGGCGCAACCACAGGGCGAGGATTTGCCGTCAGCCGTTGGCTGCTGAGACATTTCAATCTGGAATTGTTCTGCGTTGACATTTCCCAAAGAAAAATTTCTGACTTTCTGTCACACAATGGCATTTTTCTTTTACAGCCAATATATCAAAACGGTAACAAAAGCCCAGCATGGAAGTCAAAACATTTTCTTCTCGTGGAGTGAAACACGTTGGGTTCGTTCCAAGGCGCGCCTCGCTCCTGCCCCGAATTCTCCTCCCTTCTCCCATGGCTCGTGGCTCATATTGCTCACGGCTCGTGGTCCCTTTGGCTCGTGCAGCTCATGGCTTGTGCTCCACATGGCTCGTGGTCCTGGGGCCATGCTGGCTATGGTGCTCTTTGGACAGACCCCATTTGCAGCCTCATTGCACTCAGCAGGGAAATAGTGGGGCCGGCGGCTGGAGCTGAGCCTGACAGTGCGAATAACGGAGGGGGAAAGTCAACCTCTCGCTTTACTACAGGAATAATTCTGCTAGCTCCAATCTGACCATCAGCAGATCTTATTAAATGCAGCAGCAGCTGCTGCCGGTCATCAGGGTGCCGGTGCTGTGGCTGTAGCCAGGCACCTCCCTGGATGGAGCCCAGGAGCAGCTGGGATACGTGTGCCCACCCCAATGCTTCTGCAGGTGGAAGAGCAGCTGCACTGGGTCCAAGCAGGCCCCAAATCTGGCTTCCAGCACAGGGAGGGGCACAGAGCCCACACCGATGCTTGACCCCCCACCCTGAGCACATCATGGCGCTGTTTGGGGCTGCCAGGCTCCCAAATCCCCCATCTCACCGGCGCGTGGGGCTGGGGCTCACAGCACCGTGAAGAGCAGAAGGATTTGTGCAGGTTTGGGGTCCCCCAGCAGAACTACCAATAATCGCCATTAATAATTCACAGCTTCTAACGAGCATCTCACACCCAAGGCGTTGCAATTAGAACTGAGTCCTGGGCTGGAGGCATCGTCCCCGCCGTGCCCTGGTGTCACCCCGCTCACCCAGCCCGGCCAGGAGCACGCATCAGCCTCTGCTGGGACCTCAGCTTAATTAATCTTCTGCTGAGCTCAGGAGTGGTAATGGTCCCGGAGGAAGCAGGCGAGATGATTGTGCTGGAGTGAGACAAAAGAGAACAGTTAGACGGTGACAGCTGATATTAAAATGACTACAACTCACTTCATACCCCGAGTCAATGCGTTCTACTCCTTATAAATAATGGGTTACTCCAGGTTAACTGTCTGTTGCTGCATTGCAATTGTTGATATTTAATTAGCTCTAAAATTAAAGTGTTCTTTTATTGCCCTGCCATTAGAACTACTTTGTTTCTAATTGATTGAGACTAAAGTGTCTCCTCTGGATTCTGACTGGGGAGGGCAGGGGATGGGGACAGGTGGGGGCAGGGGATGGCAGCGGTGTGGGGCTGGGAGTGCTGGAGCTGTACTGGGCTCTGAGGATCACAGCCCCTTCCCCACCCGTCCCCAGGCTTCTGGGAGTGGATCCTGTCTCTGTGCTTCTATAGAGCCCTCGTTGCAATCAGCAGCAAATTCGGGAGCATCCTTTGGTACAAGTGCAGGAGCAGGTGTGTCGGCTGCGTGCTGGGACAGAACTGCTTCCCATCTCTCAGTAACTGCTGGAGATGTCACCCATCTGATCGGCCCGAGATGAATGTAACTGCCCAAGGTGGAGCTGACAAAAAAAAAGCACATCTGGCTCAGAGCTTAAATGGCTCTTTAAGAAGCTGATGCATAATTTAACTGGAGCAATTAGCAGCTGATGACTTGTAGGAATGTCGGGCAGGCAGAGGTGGAGAGGGTTCACGGACGGCCGAGGGATGTGCTTGTCCCCATTTCCATGGGGTGACTCCTGCTGTCCCCATTCCACCTCCATCCCCACATCCCAAATCTTGCAGACCACAGCTGGGTGCAGGCAGGGACCCAACTATGCCTTCAGCTCATTCTGCCCGAGGAAAAACTGACACGGCATCACACCCGTGAGAGATTTAGTGCCGCTGTCAGCGGTGACACAGAGCCCCGCTGCCGCCGCTGCAAGAGTTGTGTGCAGCCCTGCTACTGATTTGTGGCTGCCAGGAGCACACGATGTCACTGAGGCTTTGGATAGGGCTAAGGTGGGTCGAGAAGGGGTGAGGAGCTGGGATGGGTATTGCCCACACAGCTCCATGGTGAGAGCTGGCCGTGCCCAGATAGCGCATCACCGGACGCTGGTGCTATGGGTACAAATGTGAGCATCCAGGCAGAGGATGTGATGCCCTTGCTGCCCTGTGCTGCCCTGTGCTGCCCTGTGCTGCTGTGGCTGACGTGGTGCCCGGCCCCAGCCCTGCAGAAGTGTGCCCAGCCCAGCAGAAAAACAGAGATTCCTGGCAGAGCTGGAAGGGAAGCAAATGGGATGAAACCTGTGCAAAATGGGGAAGCTGCTGGATTACACTAAATGAATGAACTAATCAGAGGAATGCATTTACATAAATCTGAATAAATGACGATGCTAAGGCCAGGCCAGGTTCTTGGCAACCTCCTCACCTAAAGAAATGTGAAAGGGAACAGAAATGACAGAAGAGGGAATGTTGCCTGGTTCGGTGCTATTTGCTCCTGTGGCCCACAGCTCTGGAGGCTGCACGGCGTGTGCACCCCGAAAAGCCAAGCGCCAGGATGCTGCTCCTGTGCAGAGCAGTGAGCAATCAGCGTGACATTTAGGTAAATGCTACAGCTATTTGTAAGTGTTCGTTTCCGTGGGTGCCCCATCCATTACATGACAGCTATTTGCTTAACATCCTGATGTGCATCCCTTGCTTTGCAGATAAGCGCCGTCGCAGGGGGAGGGTCGGGGCTGTGCTCAGCAGGGCTTTGCAGAGTAAAACTTCAGCGTCGCCGCCATGCAGGGTTGTGAGATGGGTTGCCCTGCTTACCCCAATGGGGGGAAACCCCACAAGTGAATCTACCGGGTGTCAGACCTGGTAGAAGGGCATGAGATGCAGAGCTGCACTTTAATTTAGCTAAAAGACCTTTGTATAGCCAAGTTCAGCCCACAGGCACAGCCCTGTGAGAAATAGTGATGCAATATACATAAGTTCTGGCTGCACCAGACGAGTACGTGGCTTTAATGAAATGATGCCTTCGCCCCTCACCTCTGGGGAGCCCTGTGTGCCCCCCAGCTTCCTCCTGCTGCTCCCACTCCTCTGCGCACCAGGACCAAGGCAAAACCCCACAGTGCTGTTTGCATGCCAGAGCACTCGGAGGAGCTGGCGACAGGACAGCAGTGATTTCCATACTGAATAATGGAGAAGGGCAAGAGAAATAACAAATCATACATTTACAGACATATGATCCTGACTCCTTGGATGGTTTCCTGAGCACAGCTGGCACAGCCCCCAGTGATGCACTTCAGGGCAATTCCCACAGCCTTGGGCTTGGGCCCCAAAGCCCCGTGCTATCCCTTTGGCCACGTGCACCAGTGGTGGTACAAGAGCTTTGCAGGGCAGTGAGCAGCACAGCACGCTCCTAAACACTGCAAATCTGTGCTCTTGAATGGGGCTTGCTGTCAGAAAGCCTCTTGCTGAGGCCTCTTTTCATGCTCCTTGCCTCCTGAACAACTTGATGGCGCTTGACTGTAATCCTAAAATGTTTTAATGATGGTTTATTTTCCAAGCAGGACATGCTTCTCCTCACCATGGTCGTCTGGCTCAGGCTCAGTGCATGAGGAGCCAGTGGGATCCTTGGGGTGCTGGGAGGGTGCAGGGTCCCTTTGCTGGTGGTGCTGCCCACCCGCTCCCAGTGTAGCAATGGGGCTCTGCAGAGACAGCGAGGTCTGTCTGGGATGGCGATGGATGGGGGTGGCAGTGGCAGTGTGGGTGAGCATCTCTGCTGGGCGCCTGTAGACTGGAATTGTTTCTTGCTCTGGCTGCCAGATGCGAGCCTGGATGGAAGTCACAGGGAGATATTTTGTGCATGCAGAGCTCCGACGCAAAGCTGGAACACTGCATGATGCACGCTCTGTCTTGCTGGGGACAGCTGAATCTGTGGGGCTTGGATTCATGCTGTGACCCCACAGATGTCCTCATGCTACCTCCAGTGTTAGGTCCTGTGGTGCTGAGCGAGGCGATGCTGCCGGTTCTGCTGCCGGAAGCCCTGCGTGTCCTTCCCTGGCGTTGTGCTGTGTCATTAATATCTCTGTCACAGGGCAAGTTGCAGGAGAGATAATATTGATACAGCCATTAGAGTGCATGGAGAACAAGAACGAGGCACGCTGCAGGGGGGTGCAGGGCTGGGGGCTGCTGATGTGCAGCAGGCACTGATGACACCCAGACCAGGAGCGCCCCTCTCTCTGCCCCATGGACACTGCAGCCATGTGCTCGCTCCCCTGGCACCAGTGCACGGTGCCGATCCCCCATCTCCCACCCCGAAACAGAGGACGTGCCCCCCTGGCACCGCACCTCCCGCTGCTGCTCCCGCGCTACCTGCGCCACCGGGAGCCCTGAAAATAACACACAACTGCTTAAGGATGTGAGCTCCGTATTAAATCTCGGTGAAAAGGAGCAATTATGCTGTCAGAGGAGGTGATATAATTTGGGAGAGCTCGTTGCGCAGCTGTAATTTTTTCCCACCGTTGGCTGCGGTGTGCAAAGCTCCAGCATGGGCAGCCTCAGGCACCCCAGGGCCAGCTCTGCCCATGGGCAGGGGCACATTTCTGCCCACTGTGAACACTTCATACATGCTGGGAGCGTGGGCTGCCCGCTGCTGCTGGTGCCCCGTGCCTGGGGGCGCAGTGCTGTGCTGCAGCAGCATCCCAGTACGGTGCTGGTGTGGGTACTGGTGTGGCTGTGGGTACTGGTGTGGGGTACAGAGGGTTAATGCTTCCATTGCTGGGGGAGAGTAATTAAGTGCTAACTTGTCATTTTTTTTAATGAAGTACCGGAGCTGCAGATTTATAATTGCTAATGAGCCAGAATAATAATTAGTTGTTTTTTAATAAGGCCGATGATCACTCGGAGGGAGAAGAAGAGCCGGGCACTGCTTTGGCCTAATTTTTCTTGCAGCGTGTCCAACTACCCAGGCTGGCCTTGTCCCCACAGCTCAGCTCTGTGCCTGGACCTCTCCCCATGCACCCTGGCTCGTGTCCCCCCTCAGTGCCCCCTGAGCACCATGGTGGCTGCACGGGGAGGTGACAGTCCTTCTCCATAGGAATATCAGGATGCTGAGGTCACCTCCTGATGGCACTGCTCAGGGAAGTGGTGGCACCTGGGGATGAGCCATGAAGAAGCCGCACAGGGGGCATGGGGAAGGCAGGGCTGAGACAGATAACTAATTGGGATAGCTGATTAGGTAATTGCAGTTGATTAGCTTTGATTAGAATAAGCCTTAGCCAAGGCTCAGGGAGCCAAGCTCCACGTCAACCCCACTGCAGAGCCCTGGAGTGGCCCAGGACCCCCATCTGCCCCCCCTTGGCTCAATGCATACCTTTCTCATTACATCAGAACGGGGGGAGCTGCCAGTGGTGGCCTCCAAGGAGTCACCAAGCAGGCGGTGGGGAGCAGGAGAGCTCTGTGATATTATTTCAAAGAATTAAAAAAAAAATAATAAAATAGCACACACAGAAAGCAGAGATGGAAGCGACAAAACTCAGCAGGGCGTTTTCATGCCCTTGATTTTTCTACTGAAAGAAGTAATTAAGGCATTGCAGGTAATCTTCAGCTCTCCGAGAACATCCCCCGCTCCAGCGTGGCCCCAAAATGGTCTCAGTGGTGTTTCTGCCCCTGGGTGCAGCTGGATCTGCTGGGCGAAGTCGGTTCATTGGAGGGGATGATGCTGCAAAATGCTTTTGGGATCGATGGAAATGGCTGCTCTCCTGCTGGGCTGTGTCACCATGCTGTCCCCTGAGCCACCCCCCACCTTGTCCCCTTACTTTACTCTTTGCCATTTCACCCTGGCCATCTGGAGGGGATCTGGGCACCATCAGGCAGTTCCTTGGGGCAGGGAAGTGCTGTGGGGTCACCACCATCCACACACATCCCCGTCTCCCATCCCAAAAAGCATCAACCCACCCTGCTCCCAGACAGCCCCATTAAAACAGCATGCGCTATCATTTCTCAAAGGCATCGTTAAATTTGTCCGTGACTGAGCCAGAGGTGGTGGGGAACAGCACAAATGTTGTTGGGGTGAGAAGTGCCGGGGGCACAGCACTGGGACCCCCATATCCTCTCACCCCGCTCACTGCTGCGCTGCTGCTGTTCATGCTGCCCTGATTTCTGCTACTTCACCAGAGCTGAAGCCTGACCTTTTTTAATATTCGAGGCTGAGATTTCAGGGCCGGGAGCAACTCGGGGAGGGAAAGGTAGGAGAGGGTGAGGCGGAGGGGAAAAAGCAGCGCAGCCCCCCAGCAGCATCTGGGTTTCAAAAATCAATGGGGGCTGAGCAGGGGCAGGGGATGCTCTGGGATGTAATCTGTGCTCGAGTGGGGGAGAACAGGGAAATGGCATCTGCAGCCCTTGGAAATCAGCGTTTTCCTGCAGGAAAGAGCTCTCAGCTCGGTGCTGGGTGTGGATGCGGTGCTGTATGGGCACAAGGAGCCAGGGCTGGAGCTGAAGGTCAGAGATGGGTGGCTGCCCATTGAAAAATAAATGTGAGCTGTCATGTGCTCAGGACTGGGAGTGAGAGCAGGGCCGGGCAAACTCAGCCTGGTTTGAAATTGCAGCCCTGTGCCGCGCCACAGACGAGGTCCCGATAATTGCGCTTTCTTTTCTTCCTTTCTTTCCCTTTTCCCCTGCTGAGCTGCAATAATTGGGTGCTGTCGCCCGAGCTCATCCGCTGCTGGCTGCCTGAAAGGAGCTCTGCAATTAGCGAGTGTCACCCTGTAATAAAGGCTTTAATATCCCCCGTCACGGCTCACGCTGCAGCTGCTCAACCCTGTCCTGCACTGCACGGCCTTGAGAAGCTCTTGCATGGCACATGCATTCCATCTTGTCCCATCCCATCCATCTTCACCCATATCCATCCCACCCATCCTTCCCACCCATCCATCCCATCCCATCCCATCCATCCCATCCATCCCATCCCATCCCATCCCATCCCATCCCATCCCATCCCATCCCATCCCATCCCATCCATCCCATCCATCCCATCCCATCCCATCCCATCCCATCCCATTCATCCCATCCCATCCCATCCCA